GCGCGTCAATGTTGCTAGAGTAATCGAGCGAGCAAGAAAACCTTTTTTGCAGTTACAGAAAACCATGATGAAACGTGTGGGTGGCTCTAGCAAGATGATTATGGTTGGAGAACACGTTGGCACTTCCGCCACCTCAGTTGATGGTGTGATGCCGGTTGTTGCATTCCTGAGGATAGACGTATGTTGTCGACATATGTGTTATGAAAATTTAAGTAATCGACTGTGGCTGGATATAATATTACTCCGAGAAATGCAATGGTCGGTTTGGATGATGAATAAGTGGGTACAACTGACCACAAAGGTGATGCTCTCTTCGTTGTGTGGTTCAGCACACACATGTGCAGAAAAAAACGGGAATCATTGATTTTAGTGACGATACTTCCGCTCTGGATGCGGTTTTTTCCACGGGGACGTGAGTCCAGCGTACTAGTTCTAATGATGGAAATTTAGCAAGCAATTACGTATTGTGAATGCAACGACTGGTTATGATGTGAATACAGCATATGTTTTTTTGGCACCGTTTCCGACGACGGAAGAGCTGGTGTTTCTCGAGGGAGTTGCTTAAGATGACTTGTTACACGATCTCAAGTGTGATGACAATGCTGAGGTTGTGCTGCTCATGTCAAAGATCGACTCAGCGGAACCACGTTCAGCCGTTGTTGATGATGTGATGTCCAGGAAATTTGACAGCGATCTTGCAGAGGACCCGCTATTTTGAAGGATTGAATTAATCCGTATTATTTACTTGTTGTGGAATATAAGCATGATGTCCTTAGTGTGAAAATGCCCTCTGGACTTCCACCCGAACGTTGAGTTCGACATAAAATTGGTTGTGAACCTGATTTAAAGCATGAGGTGCTTAGACAGTGGTCAAGGTCGCATTGACAAAGTGAGTACATTGATGAGTTCTTTGCACAAAAGTAAGCTGCTGGTTTGGTGAGGGCGAGCAGTTCCCCTCACATTGCACCAGACAACGTTTCTTATACGTAACCCAAACGATAAATGGCGTATGCTATGCCTTCAACAAGTTAGAAGCGGAGACAATTCCCGCGCAAACGCCGATTTCGCGCTAGGATGTCATCATCTACCGTATGTCGGGCGATACACAGTTAAGTGTCTTAATTTAATCGATGGATATTACTACGTCGTGATGAGGGAAGAGGACGTCCCTTTGACGGCTGTTAGTACACCGCCCGGTATCTTATGGGAGTGGCTTGCGATACCACAGAACGATCTTGAAGATGTTTTCGCTCAATCGAGAGATGAGATGACAGATCAAGAGAATTAGTGCACTTGGAACGCCTCCGTGCGCTGCTGGGATATATGCGTAAAATTAAATGCAAGTGAATTTTACCAGTCTTCGGTCGTTATGTTGGTGAAAACAGTGTTCATGCAGACCCTGAGAAGGTCAAAGCATTCATGGAGTGTCCAACGCCACGAAATCAAAGAAAAATGAGATAATGGATTGATTTGTTCAGTTACCTGCATTGCTTCTCGCGTGACTACGCGGATATGGTATGTCCGCTATCAATTCTGCTGAAGAGGGATGTACGATGGGAGTGGTCATCCATTTGTAAAGGAGTATTCGCTCAAATAAAGAACAGCTCGATGAAAGCACCATTACTTGCTATAACAGATGATTAAAAGCCGTATAGCGTGCGTGGTGTGTGACCCTTCTGAGTTTGAGATCGGTTCTGGATAATTTCAAAAAGCCTCGGAAGGACACAATCGTGTCGTATCGCTTCAATCGCGACAGCTGAAGCCAGCAGAAAAGAATTATTCTCTCCACGACGAGGAGTCGCGCACAAGCCTTGATAACTGATCGTGCTGGCAGACGTATTGTCACGTCGTCCTGATTTTGAGCAGAAGCGATGTACTCA